CTTCGGGGCAGCTTCATGGCGCCAAGAGAGATGGTGGGCCACCATATAATGCTTATATAATAGGCATTTATCCTAGATGGCGGGGTAGGGTCTAGGGGTAGGTCCTGGCAACTCATGACGCATGGGTCACCAAGAAATCAGCTAACGTGCAACGCTCGGTGGCCAGCTGTTCGGCTCTGGCTCGGGGGTGGGTGCTTCCTGAGAGACGTTCAAATGCCGCAGAGCGTTGGATGCGAGCACCACATGGAAGTAAGCACACCAGCCTCATCATCAAAGACGTCAAACACGGGCTGCATCATGGCTAGCAGCTAGCAGCAAGCACGCGAGTCACCAAAGGCAAAGCTACAGATCAGCTGCGGAGGCAAAAGTCAGTCAGCCACGAACTGAAGAGGCAGAAGGCTCCATCGATTCAACGAGGAATCACAATTTATGTCAGGTCTGAGCTGCAGCTCCGGAACCACTTAAAAGACAACTGAAGGACTTCTGTTGCTGTAGCTAGCAGAAGTCCAGTCGTTGCAGACAAGCGTCAGCTCGGTATGCATCGCATATCCGCACGGTAGCTTGAAACAAATACAATCGATGACTCGCGGTAGCTTGCAAGAACTCGCAACAGTCCCCATTTTGACCGCAGCGCTGAGAGGTTCCTTTCGCATGCGGGCTCGCAGGAACTGCCAAGAGGTTCGCGCTCCGGCGGAGGACTCCATCGGAGACTCCGGCGACCTGGTATGTCTACAGGGCGTTGCGGGAATTGGCGTGCTTGTTCTGCTCCATTGGTCTCCTCTCCCCGTACAGATCCAAGGATGAGCTCGCAGAGTGACGCTCCACTCTCTCACAGCTTTAGGTGCAGCTCGGACAGCACGCCTGAAAGAAATCTTGCAAAGCCTTGCTTACCTGTTTTTTTGTAGCAAGCCCATCATCCAAAGCGTCGGACACTGACCTGCGAATCCTTGTCAACAACATGTATGCTCGCATGCGGTGAATGTCATGCACCTCATCCGAGGGTAATGCCCACGTGAGCTCTTCGATAAGTGGCCACACAAAAGGATGCAGCGCCTCATCATTCTTGACGAAAACAGTGAGTGCCTTCCTCGCGTTGCTGCGGCAAACATCCCCGTTCCCAGGCTTGCAGGCTTCCACTAACTCCGCGGCGCAGGCTCTATTGAACCTTCCCAACAAGTGTGGTCCACATCTGGATAGTTCGCCACATATATCAGCACGGACGTCGTCGTCTGCATGCCGCAACCAGTAGATCATTTCCCCAGCAAACAGGTGTCGAATTGACTTGACTGCGGCGCCCTGGCCCCGAATCGAAAACAAGCAGCCGGCACAAACAGCCATGATGCGCTGGGCATTCCTTGCAACGTCCGGCTCTGGATGACGGCAGTGCGACCTCAGGTTCTTGACGACGGGCAGCATGATGGCAGGTTCCAGCTTTCGCCACTTCTTCAAGGCCCGGAAGAAGGCCCAAAGACCTATCAGCTGAGACGGGACGTCAAGACGCACAACTTCGCACACTGCCATGCCATGCCATGCCATGCCATGCCATGCCATGCCAGGCCTTCCTTGCCTGCTTTCAAGGTCGAACCTTTCCAGCCGAGGTCGTCCCAGAACCGCTCGCTGCGGTTGGTTTCTTTGCACCACTCGCCGGCGGCGGCGAACACGTCCGGCCTCGAGCACGGCATGCACATGCATGCACGCACGGCATGTTTGGGCTCCCCACCGTGAAACTACGGTAGGCACCTCTCCGGCTGCATCAAACACAGAAGGTGCTCGATCAAAGCCTGACAGCACTCTCTGTAGGGTGGCCGCCAGCACCGTTCTCGTGGCCTTCTTGTGCAGGACGCTCCCTACGCTGCTGCCGGTGGCACGGAGCTGCGTGTAGCCCTGCACCTGTGACGGAAGCAAAAAAGCCGTTGCACTGGGTTTTTCGGGAGCCCGCCTGGAGAAATGGCGACAGCCTCTGCAAAAGCCTGATCGCTCACCATCATTGTCATTGCTTGTTTTGGGTAAGAAAAACGCAACGAATGCGAAAAGTGTCGCGAGCATGCACAAGCCACCCTTCTGGGCATGTGGCCCAGGGAACATCGTCAGCTGGAGCGCAGAGTGGCCTGCCTGCAGCATGCGCTTGCGGCACTTTCCCCAGGTGGGCCAAGCTTCATTCGGATTTCCTGCCTCGTCCTGGCATTTCTGCGCCGAGACCTCTGAGGCTGCTGAGGCTGGCACGAGTCTATTGAACTGGAGAATCTCACTTATAACCTCTGTCTTTACATCAAACGTTGCAACATCTTTTGTTGAACCTGGAGCTGATGCTGAAGTCCACTTGAAGGTTCATGGGTACTTAAAACGCAATCATAGCTGTACATCGCTGCAATTACTTATGACCCAATGATAACCCTCTTAGGGGACTTAAGGGGACTTACAACTGGGATGCAGTTTACGGTGGGGACTGAGTTGCCCGTGTGGCGTTAGATGGACTTGGCAGATTTCTTGCCTTTTCTAGGCCCCGTTCCCCGGCCACCCTCATGGATGGTAATGGTAATTGCATGCTCTGTAACCCCCATCTCCGTGTCTAACCAAAGGATTCGCAGATCCCTGCAAGCGTAAGAAAACCGTTTTGTCCCCAAGCAGACTGATGATTGAGCGCTAGCTTCCAGCAACTCCAGATCAAGACACACTCAAATGAAAACGCTTCCACGTAGTAGATGACTTGTCTCATGATGCTCCATGCTGAAGTCAAGGCTATGTCGGCTATCTGAACCGAAACACACTCAACGGTTCCGATTCCACGACTGCCTCCAGGAGTTGCTGCGTTGCCGAGAGCTGCCGAAGAGGCGCAGAACACGGCGGTGCAGCCTGCGGGAGAGACGGATCTCGGAAGGCCTCTGGACATCTCTAGACTCCAGGCCGCAATTGAGACTCGAGGCCTGCACAAACTCCCCGAACTCAACATCATCAAAGGGGTCCTGCACCGTGGCCAAATGCAAGCTTTGCAGATTAGGCGTGCAGGAAACGTGGCAGCCTCGGCTTTGCTGCTACGGAGAGGTCTTGGCCAATAAGGCAGATCAGGCATGTGAACGTGCGAAATGATTTCGGAACCAGATGGACAAGTAAATCTAGAGTGGATTGCACGAGCGGGTGGCACGGTGTTCACAACCAGACCTTCGGCTTTGGAGGTCGTAGGGGTGGCCTCATGTCACCCAACAATCTTCAGCTAATCAGACCATCAGCAAAAAGGCATCTGGGCATCCTGCTCATCACCCTCGTCCTGGACATTTGAGGTATTTGAGGTGGTTACGCCACTTCCACATCCCACCGTCAACATGATCATCCTCCGCAGTGTCGCTTGGATAAGGAGTGGCCGGTGCGCTAGAAGCGCTAGGAGGCCTTGCATCACATAGACGATTTCAATCCACGGCAGGACCAACTCCCACTCATTGACTTTTCCCGGCCTCGTCGATGTCGGCGTCAGAGGGCTTGCCTGCCAAAAAAGGCTCAAGAAGTGGATTGGCTTGCAACCGATCGCTTGAACAAGTCCGAAACCCATCTCTAGCAGAGAATGCCAAGCCCCTTGCTGGGAGTGTCTCGCATTCCCCTCCTTTGCTCTGACCACACACGGTGCGCCTTGGCACTCTCTTCGAGCATCGCAGAGGAAGAGCCTGCCACCGTGTTGCGCCGTGCAGATTTGGGTCACGACGACTGCGGGTCGTGTCTAACAAGGCCTACGATCTTTGTCACGACCGACGATGGATGCCATGCACAAAAAGAGCGAGCCATTGTCAAGTGGACGCGACGCATAGCAAAACTGATAGCGTTTGTAGCACCTTCTAAGCGTCATCATGTCCTCTGTTTTTGGATATTTCTCCTCCCGACATGCTGCAATCGAAGCTGCTTCTGTCCGCATTCTCTGTACAACGCGAACTTGCTTACTAGCACATGCAAGCGGTCCTGTTTGTGACAATGCTAATGCCAACACTCACGTATCTCGCATTGTCATCTTTGGTTTTACCGTATTGCCACAGGCTTGGTTGGACATGATGCGGAGCCAATGAACCCTGAAGACCAGTAACCAAGGTGCGCACCTTCCGAGGTCTCGAAAGTGATCCCAGCGCCGTACTGTAGAAGCCGTGACACCTCCGTGACCCAGGCTCCGCACTTACAGCCACTGAAAAACCGTGTGTTTGTGATATCTTGCGACTGACAATGAAGGACCGGTCGACCTGGCCCCTGTGAATGCCACCAACCTTTACAACGACCTACAACACGTATAGACAGACTCTAGTATAGACGAACAACTCATGAATTCTGATTGCGGACGAATCATCGGCCTGGCCGCTCAAATTCAACCTCCATGGCCATGGAAGACCTGAAGAGAAACTGCCGCAATTTGTCTCTTTTCTCTCAACTAAACCAAAAGACTGGGCTTTGCACAGGACCAGCAGCCACGATGACCCTCCATTGCTTGAAAGGGTGAAGATCAATGGCCAAACGTGGCAGATCTGTATGCCACCCACTTATCCCTGACAAGTCTTGCGATCTAATCGATGCTGACAGCCCTACTTTGCCTCCGAAAACTGCATGTTGAATGCAAGCTGCTAGCTGTGACGTGGAGTCAAGCACATAGCCAGGGGCCAGAAAGCTCTTTTGGCAAGAGTCACGGCAAGTCCTCAATCCACACTACTGTGGGGCCAGTGTGCTCTTACCATGTTCGCAGGTTGCTGGGGATGCTGGTATTCTGGCTGGCTGGCCGGGCTTTGGCACTGGGGACGCGGCCTACAGCGTGCTGAGCCAGCTCGGACGAGTGGTGCCCAACGGGTTGCGTGATTCGTTTTGTGTCATGGGACGCACCTTCTGCAGCACCTTTAGATTTGTAGGAGAAAGACGGAGCCCTTGTTTGAGACAATTCAGAATTCAGAACCAACAGCTTTCTATAGGGAGACATCGGATTTTTATTCTTTGAGCAACTACTGCGAAGCTGTTAATTCGGACTCTCGGTCCCTATAACTGGAACCCCAACACTCTGAACCCCTTTCGAACTTTTGCACTGCATGTGCCGCTGGCAAGGTGGGTTATAATTCATGATATGGGGAGCCGAGCCTCCGGCTTTAAGCAAGGAGCGCACCCGATGCTGGTTGTTTTTTAAGAAAACACGGGCTCGAAACAAAAAGCCATCATGGTTCACCCCACAGTGTTTCTGAAGGAGCCTGTGGTAGGAAACGTAGCAGCGATTTTCAAAACAGCGCGTTTTTTGTTGGAATGGCCGAGCTTCCAGGAAAAAGCCAAACCTCCAGACTGGCAAGGAACGTCCTCACTGCTCACAGTTTGATCATGTCTTATCCTTCAGTTTTTCGGTTACGTTCATTTACCTTACACAGCAAGAAGGGCAATGCAACGACGTGCTGTTTTACTGCGGGTGCTGCTCAGAGTTGGTCCGAACCGCCTCACGGGCGAGGCGGGCCTTTGCCACCACCACGGCTGAGAAAAGGAACTAGCGGCTATTGGTTTACGCTGGTGTTTGAAATGGCGATTTTGTTCACACGTGGTGACCGGTCACTGGCGGTGACCGTGAAAAAGGACATGTGTCCTGCTGCTGTGATCCTTGAAGCTAAACGAACATGCAATGCAGTGCAAGCGAGCATGCCACAGTTTGTTTTGGCTACATGCGACCTTGAGAGCTTTCGCTATCTGTTCGCTTAAACATCACACGCCGGAGACAATGATGCACAAGTCTCGCCAAGAACTTCTAAGAGGCTGGCACAGAGTACTTCAGCGATTATAGCATATTGCGAAGGTGCGGACTTTTCTTGACACTCACAAGCCTGCACAGTCCGCGATTCAACAACTGGCCCAAAAGTGCACTACGAAATGGAACAAAGTCAAGTGCATGGTACAATAGTAAATACCACGACACATGAGTACTGGAAAATCGTTCGTACCTCAGGATGTTCCTGGACGCTCAGGGGCATTCTGTACTGAACGATTTCGTGAAGGCGACACAACAGCTTGTAGGACGTTAAACACGCTCCAAGTGCACTAAAGTTGCCTAAGTTCTAGTGTTTTGGGTTCGATTTAGCCAGGCTCAGAAATACTACGAGTAGACTGTACAGTAGTCTGCTTGCGGAATCGTGTCACAAGACCTAATGTCTAGGACCACACAACTGGGGCTTGACTGGCGCAAGCGAATGCCTTTGAAGCTTGGCAAGTTGACAGTTGACAAGTCAAAGCACACGTTCAAGACGGCACATGCACAGCCGAAGCAATGCCCGATGAAGCTCGAAATCTCGTTAAGATTCGAGGCAAAACAAACGGATTGTGGCAGCCTACTTACTGCCTGGGCTCGTGTCATGCCCACATTGGCATAGGCTGCTCCACAGCCTTCGAAGTAGCGTTCGTGTCATCATTCCCAGATTGGCGACAAAATGCTGCATGTTCAAGATTGGTGTCACGCGTGGCGGCGTAGCAACTCGAGTCATGTACGAGCGTCATCTGTTGATCAACCGCGCCCGCAGGGCTGATGACCAACTATGTACAAGGCATCCTGTGTGCCTCATGAGCATTATAAAAGAACGACATTGAGGAGCGATTCCCACGTCACTCAATTGAAGACGCAAGTGCGTTAACACATCAAGAATCAAGAACTGCGGGACACTTCTCGGGTTCTCACGGCTTGCAAATCTTGCATGCACGGTATCCCTTTCGATGGCCTTTGCACGTCCAATCTCGGTCACACCTGCAGATTGGTTAAGCTTTCCGCATGTCGCCGTGTGGTGGGCATACACTTGGCTTTTTGACACCCGCACGCCATCAATCCTCATGGATCGGTGCTGGCATCGCGCGTTGGGCACAACATCACTCGACGATCTCGACCGCTCACTCGACGTGCGGCTCACACTCGCATTCAAACCACTTGCGCTCACAAGCGGCAGCTTGAAGCGCGGCGCAACTCGCTGTCCGACGACGATGCTGGCCGGTCACACGCTGCATCATGAGCACCTGGACTCTGCGCACGCTCATCGTCATCATCAGATTTCGGCATTGACCTGGACTTCGGCCTCGCACCTCTGAAACTTTTGGAATCATCATTGACATCCGCCGACCGTGGAGCTGGCGGCACATTGATTGTCACATTCACGGACTCATTTCGCGCGAAACACCGGGTCGATAGCATCAAACACGCAAGGGTCAAGATAACCTGCATGGCAGTCGTGACCTTTGCAGGGCACATGTCATACATCGCATGTCCATAGCCAAGAACCTGAGCGATGCACTCCAAGAACCATGCAAGGAAATCACCGGAAGGACCCAAGGCTTCATCATGAGCATCTGGGCTGTCCGCGCCACGTCACACCACTGGGTCGCAATGCTTTCCCTGCGACACTTTGTTGATGTCCCCATTCTTTGTCTTCTCCAACTTCGCCGAAATGTAAATCATCTGACGTAAGAAAGCCCGCTGATGACTGACAGAGGGCCTCCCAGGGACCCTGAACGATAAACCGAAAATCAACTGCTGCATTCGCATGCTGGGGTCCAGTAGAAGACGTTTTTTGAGCCTTCAATATGAACTTCGACGTTACGCGACAATAAGATCTTAAACACGCCAGTTCGTTCATCAAAATCGGATGCGTTCTTTTTGGAATCACCTGACACGTTTGTCCGGCATCATCGTGAAGAGACTTGTGTGCGAAAACGGAAACGGAAAGACGTGTTTTCCAAGCACGTCATAATCACAATACTGTTGCACCTACAAAACACCGGAAACAAGACATGCGACCCGTGTTCGAGACGTACGATGATTCGCGTGCATGAAAACCTCTGAAAAGATTTCCATGGCAACGTCAATGAGAGTGAGTCAGGCAATGCCCCCCAAAAAATATCATTTCCGCTCTGATTCAGCAGAAACAGACGTGCAGCTCTGCCCCAATCGCTGGAGGTCGCAAGCAGGGTCGAATCGGAAGGTCTGGGCCGAGGTTCATGTCGGCTCCTGTTCGGAGGTCCAGAGTCCAAAGTCCAAAACTCCACAGGACGAATCAGTCAAGTGCGTGCTTGAACACTTAACCGACTGGACCGATGTGATTGTGTAGAGGCATGCCTTCCATTGCCGGGTTTCATTGCAACTCAAATGCCAAGAGTTACGCCTCATGGTTGGTTTTGCTTTTAGAGAGCAAATCCCGTCCTTGAACCCCGAGGAGAAGCGTGGTGTTAAGAGAATAGGGCGAGTCCGACGAAAAACATGCGCGCCCGGCACCGACAGCACGATTTCGATTTCTACTTAGTGAAATTTGGCGGCCAGCCGAGAGGCGCCGTGGAGGCCCGTTTTTTTTTTGCGTGGATAGGCCTCGTCGACGGCGGCTGCCGCACTCGGTCCTAGGTTAAGCACCAAACAAAAAGACAAACACCAAGAAAGCTACCAAAAGCGGTGAAACAAGCTGCGACTTACGGACTTTGTCAGAAAAGGTCGTTCAGCGGTTAAATACAGCCTCATATGAACAGCAGCCCTGCTCAGATGCCCTGCTTCCCAGATTTCAGGGTCGCGCAATGGCAAGCACATCGCCCCGCTTCGCGTAAAGCATGGGTCGCGCAATGGCACATAGCGGCACATCAAGGCATAGTAAGACAGCAGGACATG